TTCTGGCGTTGTTTCGAGGGTGACCCCCTCGCCGATGAAATCCGCTAGGATTTGGGCCTTTATTGCTGGTCTTGGCGCGTATTGAATGTCGTACTCCGAAAGTTCGACCATCCATTTGACCATGCGCCCCGATACTTCCATCGAGGTCATGATCTTTTTTAGCGGAAGGTTTGTCAGGACGGTAATTTGGTGCGCTTGGAAGTACGGGCGTAATTTTTGTGAGGCGCTTACCAGCGCCAAGGCAGCTTTCTCTATTGAGGAGTATCTTGTTTTCGCGTTACGAGGGTACGCGAAGTGTAATACACAGGTTGCTCGGTTTTGCCATCCCTTCTGGATATCAGTACTGCGCTCACGGCCCTTGTCGACACAGTGAGGTACAAGAAGAGTTTTTCATTAAGTTTGGGAGCGGTTAATACAGGGGGGGATACAAGATACGCCTTTAGTTCTTGGAATGCCGCTTCGCACTCCTTAGACCATGCGAAACGTGCGCCATTTTTGAGTGTCTTGAAGAAGGGCGCACATTTGTCGGCAGACCTCGGTATGAACCTTCCTAGTGCCGCTATCTTACCATTCAGGAACTGAATTTCCAGTGCGTTCCGAGGCGCCCGAAGTTGTTGGACCGCGGTGATTTGTTTCGGGTCAACCTCTATGCCGCGCTTGGTTATCATGAACCCAAGGAACTTCCCTGCTTCTGCTCCGAAGACGCACTTGAGTGGGTTGAGGCGAAGGCTGTGCTTGCGGAGGGCTTCGAATGTCTCGCGCAGGTCTTCCAGATGTGAGGTGCCCGCTTTCGTTTTGACGATGAGGTCATCCACATATGCCTCGATGTTCCGCCTAATCTGTTGTGAGAACACCGAATCAATCATTCTTTGGTATGTTGCGCCTGCATTCTTCAACCCAAACGGCATCCCGATGAAGCAAAAGTTTCCAAATGGCGTCATGAACGCCGTTTTTTCTTCATCTTCAATGGACATTGGGATTTGGTGGTATCCTGAGAACATGTCGAGGAAAGATAACGTCTCATGATCGGCGGTCGCGTCGATCAGTTGATCGATGCGTGGTAGGGGGTAAGGGTCTCCCGGGCATACTTTGTTGATCGTGGTATAGTCGACGCACATCCGCCAGGCCCCCGAAGATTTCTTAACCAGGACCACATTTGCCAACCACTTTGGATACGTCACCGGGCGGATCAATCCGGCAGCTAGTAGGCGCGCCACCTCTTCTTCTATGGCTTTCAGTTTGTCTCCAGTGAACGTCCTTCGCCCTTGTTGCCTTGGTTCCGCGTTGGTTGGAACCGCGAGGCAATGCTGAGCTATTTGCCTGGGCACTCCTGGCATGTCCTCTATGCACCAAGCGAACAGCTCCTTGTACTCCTTCAGCAGCGCCACGAGTGGCTCGATCGCGTCACCGCTCACGTGAGTGGAGATGCGTATTTTCTTAGTCGGCTCGGCGGGGTCCAGCGCGACCTCGAAATCGGAGTCCATGGATTCTGGGCGGGGCTCCTCCGCTCTTGTGTCGACGATGTTTGTCTGGCGCACCTCACCGCGCTCTCCCCATGCCGTTCCCTTTGCCTCTCCGACTCCCGTTTGGGTGGGGAATTTGAGCTTCTGGTGGCACGTCGACGGGAGGGCCATGAATTTCGCAAGGAACGGTCGGCCAAGGATGCCATTGTGCGCCGATTTGCAATCGACGATTGTGAATTCCACTTGCTTGGAGACGCGCGGCTCTTTGTCTCCAATTACTACTGGGAGGGTGACCACTCCAATTACCGGAACTCTCGTCCCGGAGAACCCGACCAGGTTGCCTTGCGCGCGCTTTATTAGGCGCGGATCGATGTCCATTTGGTCTATGGTGCTTTGGAAGAGGATGTCAGCCGCGCTACCTCCGTCTATCAGCAGACGGTGGATTTTGCAGGCGGCAACTAGCGCGGTGACGATGAGCGGGTCCTCTGATGGGACCCCTCGTGGGAACTCCGCATCGTCGAAGCTCAGATTGAACTTCGACCGTGCGTCGACTGCCGCGCACTCTGTTGCGCTTTCACGCTTGGTTTTCTTCTTGGGGCGATCTCCCTCGCCCGTTACCACCCCTTTTTCTTTGCGCACTACATACTCGCCAGTGGCGTCATTGTAGTCGGCTTGTGGAGGTGGTGGCGGGTTTTGGGGGCCCTCAACTCGTTCTTCCTTCACATGAGTGAACTCGGTCAGCAATCGCCGCCGTATGAGGCCCTCTATTTCGTAACGTAGTTCTCGGCAGTCATTTGTCCAGTGACCCGTTCCTCTGTGGAAGTCGCAATGCTTCTTTGGATCGCGCATGTGGGGTAGGGACTTCAATGGAGCAGGCCAATTGAGCTTGTAACCCTTCTCGCGGAGAACGTGGAACACATTCCTTACGGAATCGTTAAGAGGCGTGTAGGTGTTGGGCGCGCGCCTGTCTGGCGATCGACCGCGCTGAACTTGCTCTTGTGGGGGAGGAGGGTGGCGTTTTGGGCCACTGTGAAGCTGCGCCAATTGGTCTCGCGGGATCGGAAGCTGCCGACGCCCTTGTTCTTCTCGCGGCAATTTTGCTGGTTCGAAACGCCTGACAGATCCTGCCCCCAGGGTTTCTTCTAGCGTGATTGCCTTTTCAATCTTCATCTCCAATTCTGTTGATAGCGTCACGGGCCTTTTTGCTAGCGCCTGCTTGAGCTCCATGTTGTTGGTGGCTTCCATAAGGTGATGGGCGGCGGTTTCGGGGGTGAGATCGCGCACGGCCATTGCCACCCTGGACCATCTAGCGTAGAAAGCCCGCAGGCTCTCTCCCTCCTTTTGCTTGATGTCTATCAGCGCCTTGAGGTGCAGAGCCGCCTCTTTTGGGACGCGAACTTCGTTGTGAATAGAAGTATGAACTCCTCGAACGAGCGGATGATTCCGTTCGGGAGCCTGTTATACCAATCGAGGCATATTCCAGAGAATGTTGATGGGAAGGTTCTGCACAGCGCCGCATTGGAGTTGGTTTGGAGTTGCATCCGCAGGCAGAAAGTGCTCACGTGGTCTTCGGGGTCGGTCATGATTTCCGCGCTCAACGGTTGGTGGAGGGCCTTTCTAGGTGGGTTGGGTCGGTATTGCGGAGACAAGTGTTGCTCCAAGAAACTGAGGTCCGCCCGTCCTGGCGGCTCGACTCCCCGCGTTTCGCACGCGGGGAATTCTGTTGGCGCGTGTTGTGGTGTGGGTGGGCGGTTCCCGACACTTCTCCCAAGGCCTGTTGAGGCGCGACTGCCGTCACGTCCACTGTTGCCGCGGCCTCCTTGCTCATCATGAGCGCTATGACTTGGCTCATTTGTTTTTGCATGTCAGCTATGACACTGTTTTGCTTCGCCATCAGCTGCCTCATTTCTTTGGCTGTCAGCTCAGGCTCTTCCTCTTCGATAAGCACCGCGTTGACGTTGCTGGCTTCTGCGAACGCCCTCGGGTCGGTCATTGCTTTGATGGGCGTTGCTTCATCAGGTGAGTCGTGGTTGCGTTCCGCCATTGGTTGATTTTCTATTGTGTTTCTTCTTTGCCCCACGGTGGGCGCCAATTGTTTGAGCCTAACTGAGTGTAGGAGTGAGGTTCGGGGAAGAATGTGGGTCAAGAAGAACACAAGAGGGGAAAATCCTTCAGAAAGATGGGAAAGATGAGAACCAAAGATTTGAAGTTTTAGAGAGAGAAGTTGATAGTATAGAGATAGAATGTGAAAAATGCGATCCCCTCACCCACCAGAGTAAATGCCGTATTTATAGGCTACAAGGTGGTGGGTGAGTGGTTGGGTTACATGAGGTGACATCGACATGACCACTGACATTTCAGGGATTTAGGCCATTTCTCTACCTAGGACATGTCAGAGGTGTACCTATGACTATATCTAGGACTCTGATGTGACCATCCCTCGGGAAGCGTGACGGGGCTTTTTGCGGCTCTGTGGTCTAGGCTCCGCTTGTTCCTTTCCATTCGCGCGTAGCCTGTGCTGCGCTCAAACTCTTCGCGCCAAGGCGCACTGGAGGTCTTTGATCGCGTCGCGCACTAGCGGGTCTGGCGACATTTGGGCTTGTGTTTGGCGCGTTTCGCTGGCGTGGCTAGGTCCGAGTCACATGCCCAACAATAATATTATCTAAATAATTCATTTACGACTCCAACACACTTACTAAGCAACAAATAACTAACATAATCTTGTTTAAAGGGAGAAAGAAGTGAAGACATGGAGAGAGAATTTGAGGGAAAGATATCAATGACGAGGAATTTTACAATGCTATATAGCATTGATGCTTTAGGTTTTGCCTCAAGTTGTACCTTTAATGTTATGGTACAATTTCAGATTGTACTTATACTCTTTACTCTTTGTACAAATTCTTTTATGGTACAACTTGAACTTGTAACCTTATGTGATGGTACAACTTTAAGTTGTAAAGTTGTACCATAACATAAGGGTACAAATTCCTTTATGGTACAACCTGAACTTATACATTTAGTGTTATAGTACAACTTCAAGTTGTACATTAAAGCACCAATGTTTTATAGCATAGTAGAAGTGCTCATCAATGATATGTTACAAATTGATCTCTCTTGTTATTTATTTATGAAAGAAATACTCTTTATATGTCGAGTGTGGAGTGGAGGATATAAAAATAAAACCATGTCAGCCCACATCCTCATAAAACTTTGTGCGGGTTTTCCTAGTCTGACACTGTGTATGATATATGTATATATGATTTTACCTATATAGAATTTACGTTTTTTTTGCATGTTATGCACTCGCCTCATAATAATCATTTTGAGCAGACGATCGTCATTTGTGAATAATGAACTTGAAAATATATGAAGTTATACAAAACAAGACTCTTTCAAGATTTATTTGAATTAGAATGGTTTAGGGTTTAAAGGATTCAGGAATTAAAAGATTTGAATTTATGCTTAGATATTGTATATTTGTATGGATTAGTGATAAACTGATAATCATATGTTATATTAACGTATTAGACTAAGAATAGCAATTAAAATTAAAAATTCGTATAGTTATTAAGTTGGGTATATCCGTATATATAGTAAGTATGAGTGCACCGTAAAAGCCGGTGTTAGTCTTCTTTGCTTCATTTCCTTTACCTCAGTTCGTCAACGATAAAACACACCTGGATACCGATTCACTAACACTGTCGGCGAAGGAAGGAGCCACTTAAAAATCAAGGGAAGGAAACACCGCCACGTCGGCAACCCTTTCCCACAAACAAAAAACAAAAAAAAGCTCTGCAAATTACATACCACCTCCACCACACGCTCTCCGCCGCGCGTCCCCCTCACCCCAACGTCGCCAGAACCTTCGCCGCACGTGCGACCGGCACGCACACCAGATCCGTCGCCTTCGGCACCGTCAGCCCCTGCCTTTCCGACATGTCGACGGGATGCTCCTTCCCTCTCACGACCTCCCCGTCGGGTCCCACCACCTCGAAATCGAAGCACTGGATCACCGCCGCCAGCGCCGCGGGGAGCTCCTGCAGCGCCAGCGACATCCCGGCGCAGATCCGCCGCCCGCTGCCGAACGGCAGCAGCTCGAAGTGCTGCCCCTTCATGTCCACGTGGCTGTCGAGGAACCGCTCGGGCCGGAACTCCAGCGGGTCGGCCCAGTACTTCGGGTTCCGCCCGACCGACCACATGTTGACGAACAGCATCGAGTTTTCCGGGATTTTGTAGCCGCCGATCTCGCACTCCTGCACGCACTTCCGTGTGATCATCGGGATCGCCGGGTGGAGGCGGAAGGCCTCCTTGATGACGGCGTGGATGTAGACTAGGTTCGGCCCGTCGGATTCTTCTACGAGTCGGTCCGGCCCGACGACCCGGTCGATCTCTTCTCTGGCCTTTTGGAGTACTTTGGGGTAGTTGATTAGTTCGGATAGGGCCCACTCCAGTGATGCTGCCGACGTGTCAGTCCCTGCTGTGAAGAAATCCTAACAAAAATTCAAAATAACACACTGTTAAGTCAAGCGCGAACGACTAGTGAAAGTCAAGAGAACTTTTTTTAGTGATAGTGTGCTCCCCACGTCTTTAGTTGGAACTTTGGTATCAACAATTAATGAAAAAATTATTTGAAAAATTACACATGTTTGTTTTCAATATTATGTGTTATTTAAAATTCGAATCAGAAACATCTTGGTTGACGACTACTAATAATATCACTAAAAATAACCATAAAAAATAATATCACTAAAAAATTTCGTCCATTATAAAACGGTTAATGATATTCTATGGTCTATTTTTACCAGTTAAAAGAACAGATAAAAAAATGCCAACCTCCAATGGGCCAACAAAGTCATTTATTTGTATGTTTAGTATTTATTTATTTCGTTTCTCCTTCCCAATTGGGAAATATTTTTCTAACGAGATGATTCGCTTATCGAATTCACAATCGTCAGAAAGTACGAACGTTCCATATTCATCACAATAGGAAGTAGGAGCGGATGTTCCACAACCATATATAACGTGAATGCGCGACAATTCAGTAAATAAAATATCAAAATATCATCATCATATACATCCAATGGTTGCGAAGCTTCCACCCCCAGTCAGACGACGAACGAGCACATTTTTAGACTAACGAAATTGCTTACATGAAATTGTTACGACCATCAACGGCAACACGGACGTGTGCCATAAATTCATAATCACTGCAAGCTCACTACCATAAATTCACAGAGAAAGTCACGTGAAGCCGACCCAGAAGGTGGAGCCAATTTTCAAGCCAATTAATGGACAACAACAAAACAAAACCACGTCACAGATGCTATCAAGAAAGAACGAGACGATACTCTTATTGGTAATCTAATTAATTATCAACTATCGAATTTGTTACTTCCAAAAAGTATGGGCCAAAAAAGTATGGAGAGAAAACGAGTAGTAATGTATGTAGCTTACCAGTACTAGGGCTTTAACGTGATCCCTCGTCAACTTGATCTCCGCATTCTCATCCTCAATCACATCCAGCATCATATCCAAAAAATCCCTCGCCTCCCGCCGCTTCCCGCCGTCCCTCCGCCGCTCCTCCTCCCTCACCGCCTCCCTCTCATTCACAATCCTCTCCAGCAACTCGTCGAACCTCCGCCGTATATCCTCCGACCTCCTCTTGAAACCCTGGAGGTCCCACTTCCTCAGGAACCACACGAAATCCGACACGTTGAACTCCCCGAATATCTGCGTCACGTCCCGGGCCAGCCTCCTCGCCACCTCGGCCTCGCCCTCCGTGCCGGAGGCGCGGATCCCCAGCATCATCATGCAGATGATGTTGTTGGAGAACCTCAGCAGCTCCTGGCTGAGGTTCACCCTGCCTCGATCCCGGGACTTCTCGTGGAGGAGTCCCAGCAGGCTGCGGAGCTCCTGGGACCGGATGGGCAGGAACTGGGCCAGCATCCGGTTCCCCAGGAGCTCGAACGTGCTGATTTTTTTGATGAACTTCCAGTACGCACCGTAGGGTGCGAACGCGAACGAGATGTTGTCGTAGGTGACGTAGTTGGTGACGATGGTGCCCGCACGCATGGAGAAGCAGAGCTCGTGGGTCTTGAGGAACTCGCGGGCCATGTCGGGGGACGAGGCGACGATGGCGGAGATGGAGCCGAGCCTGAGGTGCATGAGCGGGCCGTGTTTGGCGGAGAGGGCGTGGAAGGTGTGGTGGATTAGTGGGCCGATGAGGTGGAGGTGGCCGATGATGGGGAGGGCTATGGGCCCGGGAGGGAGCTTGCCGGAGGCCCATTTGGCCCGGGCGGTGGCCAGGGCGAAGAAGGCGAGGATGGCGAGGAGGAGCTCGACGATCATGGTGGCCGGGAGGGGATAGGATTAGGAAGATGGAACTGGAATTTTGAGGGACTAAATGGAAATTTTATAGTTCTAGGGTGGGAGTGGGAAATGAATGGGGAAGTTGGCTTATTATTAGGGAGCGGTGGGAGCACGGTGGTAGGTATAGGAATAGGGTCCGTTTTGGGGGACGTAGCAAATAGTGAGATTTTGAGGGACTGAAAGTGAAATATTGGTATGGATAGAAGTGGAGTGATGAGGAGAGAGATCTGTGAGGGTGAGGTTGGTTTGGTTTTGCATAGAGAGATGGAGAAATTGAGAAGGCGGGGTGGTAGGTAGGAGGAGGAGTCCTTTGGATCAAGGTTTTCACGGTTCTCCTTGGTTCGGAATTCATTAAGCACATCATGTCGGTTTTTTTCTCATAGAAAGGAGAGCCGTGAATAAGCTATATGGTTACTCGTCGATAGGGATGGCAATGGGCCGGGTTGGGTTCGGATAGTGCATATCCGTTACCCTACCCAAAGTAGTTCGGGTTTTACCCATACCCATACCCACATAAGAAATGGGTAGAAAATCAAAACCATTCCCATACCCGTTCGGATTTCGGGTATCCACGGTTATCCATGGGTAATAATTTTTCTTCATAACTCCAACCAATATGTTAACATTCTCGCATATTCTCACATTATGTAAGAGGAAAAATACAACAATAATTCACTAGAATGAAGAAAATTAATTAAAACAATATAATTTCATGAAAATACTATATTTATATGCTAAATATTAAATATGTTAGAAAATAATAATGATTATTTCTAGACAAAATATATATGAATGTGTATAATCAGGCGGGTTCGGGTTGGATAGTGAGAAACCCATGCCCACCCATTACCCGCAATATTCGGGTTCGGGTTTTACCCGTACCCACTAAAAGTTCTTCGGGTTCGGGTTTTACCCTACCCGATTAGGTCGGATTCGGGCGGATATCCACGGTTACGGATATTTTTGCCATCCCTACTCGTCGACACATCATTTTTCGCCATTATTAGCTATATGGTTGTAGACAAGTATGATGAAATGGTACCTGAGGTTGTACCTCAAAAGTTGACAGGTATAATATTTTGTGCTGAAATTATTCATATTAGGACTTCGTTTATATAGTTAGAACTTAGAGAAAATGAGAGAGAAAGAGGGGAAGGGTTAAGCTACCTAAACGATATAATTGTATATCTATATAATTTATTTAATAAACAATATGGTAATTAAATTATTATATTTGTGCCTGTACGTCTTTGTTGACACCCAAAAATATTTTGGCCCGAATCCAATGCTGCATTAATTAGAAGCGGCATTTAATTTAATGCCGCATGATAAAAACAGTGATGTCTAAAGACAAGCGGCGTCGTGGATGGGTAAAACGGTGTCGCGAGTAGGCCAACGACGCCGCGGATTAGAAAACGACACCGCAAGGAAGCTCATCGGTACCGCGACACTCGAAACGATTTTGTTTACTAGAAAACAATTGCCATGAGTCATGGGCCGCACGATTAGTGTTGTTATTGGAAAATGTGTACTTTTTGTTTATTCCTTGTCGGGAGAGGGGGAGAAACGACACCGCGGATTAGAGAACGATACCGCGAGAAGTCTTGGTAAGCGATGCCGATTAATTAAAAACCATACCGGGTAAGTGCTTGGTCCAAAATCCGCCAAGTCCAACCCGAGTGCAAAGTCTCCCCGGTTTGATAAATTGATATTTTGTTTGATTATTTTGGACGGTGTCGTTTAGTTAAAAACGATACCGCGAGTAAGCCCAACAATGTCGCAGTAGTTAAACGACAGTGTTTAATGTAAAACAATGTCGCGGAGTAAAAAAGCAAACAGAGTTGTTTGGGGAAGAAAACAATACCGTTTAATGACAAGCAGCGTTGCGAGAGGCATAATGACATGCCGGAGTTCGACAACAACACCGTGAGACTTGACACAGAGTCGTTAATTATTTAAACGATCTCGCGGGTAGAATCAAGCGGTGCTGTTTAGCTAAAAACCACACTGCGTGAGGTATCAACAACGCCGCGGTATTGCTAAGTGACAACGTTTGAATAAAAAACAATACCGCAGTACGTAGGATTTTGGCAGGGGCGGTCGGCCAAATCCAAGTTTAAACGATATCGCGAATTCAAAGTCGGCCATGATACCGAGAGGCCGCATATTTTAGTAAAAACAATGTCGCTGGAAATTGCACATAAACGATGTCGCGGGGTAGAAAACAACATTGTTTCGTGGAGTACAATGTTGTGAGATAAGCCCAACGGTGTCGCAAAGGTTCAACGACACCGCGAGGATAGGAAGCGAAGTGGCGAGAGTTCAGCAATGGCATGTGTTTGACGATGCCGCGGACTCGAAGTCGTTGTTTATTATGTGGACAGGGTTGTTTGGAGGATCGAACCATGATGGAGAATTGTGGATTTTGGCTCAGTGTCGTTTTGGCCAAGTTCCCGCGTGTCCAAGCGGTTTCGCACTTGTGAGAGTTCCGCAACAAGGAGGAAGTTACCCGCACGGTTGACAAGAATGAAACACGTGAGAGACAAAGGCGCGAGGGGGGTTACTACGACTATGGGCAGAAGATTGGGGTATACACATCAGGAAGAGAGAGAAGCTCGGGACGGAAAATCAAATCTCAAACTGCACCATCGCAGGCTTACCTTTTTTCTCTCTATTTTCGTAGAACAGCTCTGTCAAAGAACTTCTTTGCAGAGTTGTAGATCGTAGTCGTAGCTTGTAGTCGTAGTCGCGGAGCTCTCCAGAGGAACCTCCATAGGAGTAGAGGTAACGTAATTTAGATCCTCCTTGTTTCCTCGTTGTTCGTCGAACACCCTCGTTCTAACGTAGTTTGGAGAGGTGGTGAACCGAATAACGGTTGTTCTTGGTTAGAAGTCAAAGGTGCATCGATCAAATCAACATCACCCGAGACGCGGTGGATATTTGACGATCGTCTTGGTTTCTGTTTGATCGATCAAATCAACATCGCCCGACACTCGGCGGTGGATATTTGACGGTCGTCGTGGTTTATGTTTGATCGATCAAATTAACATCGCCCGAGGCGGGTGGATATTTGACGGTCTTGTTTTTTGTTTGATCCTGTGTTCTTGTTTGCCTTGATAACAGAGCACATTAAACACGCGAGTTTCGCCATCGAAATAGTCTAATCTCAATGTGCTTTGAATTCGCATTTTAGACAAGATTTTTTGACATTTTGCAACTGAGAGACCATCACAATATCATGTATATTGCTCGTGCTACACCAGAAGTTGGTTGAACAATGTTGCCATGCATGGAAGTTCCAGAGAGGTGTCTGCCAATGTCATGTACTATGCTTTTGCTGATGATCTGGACACAATTTTATGTTTTTTTGGGCTAAATTACACGTTTGGTCACTCGAATTACATAAATCTTTCACATTTGCCACCCAAATTACTTTTCTTTCATATCAGCCACTAACTTTACGATTTGTTTCACCATTAGTCACCCTTCGTCAGACTCCATTAACGCCGTCAAATTTTGATGACATGGCAAACAGAAGTGCTGACTGTACCGTTAAGTTAATGACGTGTCAATTTTTATAAACAAATAAAAAAGAGATTACACCTCATTCTCTCCTCACGGCAACCTTTCTCTTCTCCTTCCTCTTCGCACGAGCAGCAGCCAAAAGAGAGATCAGACTCTCTGATACCCTTGTCGAGAGTCGAACCCGGAAGGTTGAATCCAGTCCGCCGCCTTTGTCATCAATCGCCCTCCGAGTTCGTTTCCGCCATCGGCGCCATCAATATGCCCATCCCGTCGATGAGGTCCCTGTTACCAACACCGTCGAATCAAGTTTTAGCGGTGCCATAGTCATCTTCTCCCGCAGCCGCTCGTTGCTTTTTCTCATCCCGCTGCTGCTCGTTGTCGTAAACTCCGCCGCCTTCAGCAACCTAGTCCGACGCACCACCAAACTTTCCCGTTGCTGTCGGAGCCACCACCGTCTCGCCAAGTCCAGTTGATAAAGCCTAATCTCCAGACCGTTGCTACAACCTCTGCCCGGAATCCACACCATCGTCATCAGCCGATGCCTGTGTTAGCATCGATCCGCCATTGTCGTCGTCCCCAGTTTCTTCTTCTAGATCTAGGGTAATCTTCCAAAACATAACCACCCCTAAAATTCAAAATTAAAACTCCTCAAACTTGGAATCAAACAAAACCCTTAAAAATCGACAAGCATTGAGAAGGAACAAAGTACTTACCGTCTTTGTTTTCTCCCCGGCGACGAGAGCAGAGCAGTGGCATATTGAGATTGATGGTAGGAGGAGAGGTCGGTTGATTTGGATTTCTTATTTGTCATCGTTGGTCACGTCCATCCACGGCCAGTACACGCTAATCTGGGAGCAAAAGCCGGCGATGTCGGATTCGGAGAGAGGAGCTCGGCGGTATAGAAGGCGTCGTGGATTTTCTTCTCGTCGCGATTGTGGACGAGGAGGGAGCTAGGGACGATGTAGAAATCGTGTAGCGGCGGAGTGCCGCCACCAGGCGAAGGAGCCGTCGGTGCCATTTTGCCCAGACGGAGCGGTGGTGGAGCTGGATGGAATAGATCTTCAGGCCCAACTCTTGCGTAAAGATGGGGAAGGCGAAGAATACAATGGAGGGGAAGGGGCCACTACTCCTCTGCCTATTTTTTGTTTAATTGTTTTCTTTTAATTAATTTAACAGTACAGTCAGCATTTCCGTTTGCCATGTCATCAAAAATTTGACGGCGTTAACGGAGTCTGACGGATATTAACGGAAGGTGACTAACGGTGAAACGAATCGTAAAGTTAGTGGCTAATATGAAAGAAAAGTAATTTGGGTGGCTAACGTGAAAGATTTATGTAATTCGAGTGACCAACCGTGTAATTTAGCCTTTTTTTAATCACCAGCTGATGGGAGAAGTGCCTACGAAGATACAAAAACCAGTTATGTACCATTTTGTATAAAAAACAACCAACTCAATCTTAGTCCGAAAAAGCAGTCACTCTAGTGTTTGAATCAGAGGGAACAAGTTCATATAACATAGGTAGTTTTAAGGTATAGAAGGAGGGGATGGGTGGCATGTTTGTGAGCAGTAGTTGCGGAATTAACATACCGACTGAATTGATTTATAGTATAGTCGGAAGTCGGAAATCGTACCTTTAACAAAATGTTCACAAAGTATAGTGAAAGACATCTTTTTGTGATATTGATATCAGATTGAGTGTTGTTGAGATATTGATATCATCCTAGGAGAGTTTCTGTAGATGTTGTGGGCT